ATTCAGATTCTGCGCCCAAGTTTGAAATGTTATTTACTATCACCAGCCAGGAACAAATATTAAGATTATTTTAATTCTGGATTTTAAAGGCATTATCCCACTTCTGGTCGAGGCGATATGAGTGATAATATAGTAAAAAATTTCTTAAAATTAACAGTATTGACCCATTGCATTCAAATTCTGCTCACAGGTTTGAAATGCTATTTACTATCAGCAGCTAAAAATAAAACTTAAGATTCCATTAATTGTGGATTTTAAAGGCATTATCCCACTTCTGGACGAGGCGATATGAGTGATAATATAGTAAAAAATCTCTTAAAATTAACAGTATTGACCCATTGCATTCAGATTCTACGCCCAAGTTTGAAATGTTATTTACTATCATCAGCCAGGAACAAATATTAAGATTCCATTAATTGTGGATTTTAAAGGCATTATCCCACTTCTGGTCGAGGCGATATGAGTGATAATATAGTAAAAAATCTCTTAAAATTAACAGTATTGAACCATTGCATTCAAATTCTGCTCAAAAGTGCAAGATATTTTTAACTATCAGCAGCCAAGAAGAAATCTTAAGATTCCATTAATTGTAGATTTCAAAGGCATTATCCCATTTCTGGTCGAGGCGATATGAGTGATAATATAGTAAATAAATCTTTAAAAATTAACAGTATTGACCCATTGCATTCAGATTCAGCTCACAGGTTTGAAATGTAATTTACTATCATCAGCCAAGAAGAAATCTTAAGATTCCATTAATTGTAGATTTCAAAGGCATTATCCCATTTCTGGTCGCAGCGATATGAGTGATAATATAGTAAAAAAATCTCTTTAAATAAACAGTATTGACCCATTGCATTCAAATTCTGCTCACAAGTTTGAAATGCTATTTACTATCAGCAGCTAAGAAGAAATCTTAAGATTCCATTAATTTTGGATTTTAAAGGCATTATCCCACTTCTGGTCGAGGAGATATGAGTGATAACATAGTAAAGAAATCTTAAAATTAACAGTTTGACCCATTGCATTCAGATTCTGCTCACAAGTTTGTATTGTTATTTACTATCATCAGCCAAGAACAAATATTAAGATTCCATTAATTGTAGATTTTAAAGGCATTATCCCACTTCTGGTCCAGGCGATATGAGTGATAATATAGTAAAAAATCTCTTAAAAATAACAGTTTGACCCATTGCATTCAGATTCTACTCACAAGTTTGTATTGTTATTTACTATCATCAGCCAAGAACAAATATTAAAATTCCATTAATTGTAGATTTCAAAGGCATTATCCCACTTCTGGTCGAGGCGATATGAGTGATAATATAGTAAAAAATCTCTTAAAATTAACAGTATTGACCCATTGCATTCAGATTCTGCGCCCAAGTTTGAAATGTTATTTACTATCACCAGCCAGGAACAAATATTAAGATTATTTTAATTCTGGATTTTAAAGGCATTATCCCACTTCTGGTCGAGGCGATATGAGTGATAATATAGTAAAAAATTTCTTAAAATTAACAGTATTGACCCATTGCATTCAAATTCTGCTCACAGGTTTGAAATGCTATTTACTATCAGCAGCTAAAAATAAAACTTAAGATTCCATTAATTGTGGATTTTAAAGGCATTATCCCACTTCTGGTCGAGGCGATATGAGTGATAATATAGTAAAAAATCTCTTAAAATTTACAGTTTTGACCCATTGCATTCAGATTCTACTCACAAGTGCAAAATGTTATTTACTATCAGCAGCTAAGAACACATATTAAGATTCCATTAATTGTGGATTTTAAAGGCATTATCCCACTTCTGGTCGAGGCGATATGAGTGATAATATAGAAAAAAAATCTCTTAAAATTAACAGTGTTGACCCATTGCATTCAGATTCTGCTCACAAGTTCGTATTGTTATTTACTATCATCAGCCAAGAACAAATATTAAAATTCCATTAATTGTAGATTTCAAAGGCATTATCCCACTTCTGATCGAGGCGATATGAGTGATAATATAGTAAAGAAATCTCTTAAAAATTAACAGTTTGACCCATTGCATTCAGATTCTGCTCACAAGTTTGTATTGTTATTTACTATCATCAGCCAAGAACAAATATTAAAATTCCATTAATTGTAGATTTCAAAGGCATTATCCCACTTCTGATCGAGGCGATATGAGTGATAATATAGTAAAAAATCTCTTAAAATTAACAGTATTGACCCATTGCATTAAGATTCTAGTCACAAGTGCAAAATTTATTTACGATCAGCAGCTAAGAAGAAATCTTAAGATTCCATTAATTGTAGATTTTAAAGGCATTATCCCACTTCTGGTCGAGGCGATATGAGTGATAATATAGTAAAGAAATCTCCCAAAAATTAACAGTTTGACCCATTGCATTCAGATTCTGCTCACAAGTTCGTATTGTTATTTACTATCATTAGCCAAGAACAAATATTAAAATTCCATTAATTGTAGGTTTCAAAGGCATTATCCCACTTCTGATTGAGGCGATATGAGTGATAATATAGTAAAAAATCTCTTAAAATTAACAGTTTGACCCATTGCATTCAGATTCTGCTCACAAGTGCAAGATGTTATTTACTATCAGCAGCTAAGAAGAAATCTTAAGATTCCATTAATTGTGGACTTTAAAGGCATTATCCCACTTCTGGTCGAGGCGATAGGAGTGATAATATAGTAAAAAATCTCTTAAAATTAACAGTATTGACCCATTGCATTCAGATTCTGCTCACAAGTGTGAAATGTTATTTACTATCATCAGCCAAGAAATAATATTAAGATTCCATTGATTGTAGATTTTAAAGGCATTATCCCACTTCTGGTCCAGGCGATATGAATGATAATATAGTAAATAAATCTCTAAAAATTAACAGTATTGACCAATTGCATTCAGATTCAGCTCACAGGTTTGAAATGTAATTTACTATCATCAGCCAAGAAGAAATATTAAGATTCCATCAATTGTAGATTTCAATGGCATTATCCCATTTCTGGTCGAGGCGATATGAGTGATAATATAGTAAAAAATCTCTTAAGAATAACAGTATTGACCCATTGCATTCAAATTCTGCTCACAAGTGTGAAATGTTATTTACTATTTACTATATTATCACGCATATCGCCTCGACCAGAAGTGGGATAGGCTTAATGCTTTAAATCTACAGTTTATGGAATCTTAAGATTTTCTTTTGGCTGCTGATAGTTAATCCCATTTCAAACTTGTGAGCAGAATCTGAATGCAATGAGTCAATAATTCTAATTTTAAGAGATTGTTGACTATATTATTACTCATGCACAGAAGTGGCATAAAGAAGTGGCATAAATGTAATACTTTCAAGAATGAAAGGAATCTTTAGAGTTTTGTTTTCTGATGATTGTCATTCACATTTCCAACCTTTGAGAAACATGTACTTTGACAATAAGCTTTGCATATGAAACAACATAGTTTTAACAAATGCTTCCTCTCCGTCCCCTTCACAACTGTAATAGGCTAACTGATCATCATGGATGGACTGACTTCATGATGCATGACATTGTGCTAGATCTGTACCTGCCTTGACTGCAAGGACCAGACGACCATTTTGATCAAGTTGTGAAGGGAGGATAACTCTTACTGTTGCGTTGTCTTGCAAATTTTAATGTCAATGATGACAGAGCATGAGATAACAAGTTCAATTCTCTATTAGTAATGGGTTTATGAAATATATGTTATTTGTCTTAAGTTGGTAATTTTGAAGTCCTTCTAATTATTTCAATCATATTAAATGATATTATTTAGATTCCATATGTATCAGAGACCATAAAATATTTAATGGTCTCTCCATATATATGAGGACATTTTGCTGGCAAAATGGTTATGAAAGCTGCAATGTATATATGTCAATAAGCTACCAGGAATGGTTCAATGAGTTTCACAGTTAACTCTCTCACATTCCGCATCTGCTATGCCTTGAAGCAGTTACATGCACCTCCAACATTTATAAAAATAATAAAATCATGTACACAATAATCAAATGGAGTGATTTTGAATAATTGTTACCACAAAAGTCTTGCATTATAGTGATAATAATATTTACAAAAAATACTTTGGGACTTGAGAATACATAAAAAATACATGCATCAGTTGCCAGGGGGCTGTGAGGTATTGGGGCTTAGAAATCCCTTGAATAGTACAAATGTAATTGTACCCCTTTTAACTCTGTTGTGTATCATATTCTCTGTTTGATGTTTAATGACACATTCAGTAATATTCCAAATAATAGTATAATTAAATTACTGTGCATACCGTCCTACATATATAGTGTGGACATCATCGCCTATTGTACAATGTCATGAGTGTATACTCCTAGATATTTTCCTCGTGTTTCTGTGTATGAGAAGAATAATTAAAATAATCTTGAAAAATAGCAGAACACAAACATCCTAGGAACTTGTATTACCGTATTCGACGTAATAAGCGCCCCGCTCCAATAAGCGCCCATGGTGATATTTGCTGATATATTGGCTCGTGAACAATCCCAATTAGCACCCCTTCCGATTGATCAATGTTTCCAAGACTCTTTTGTTTGTGTATAATACGCACTCGTGTGTTATATGCACCCTTAATTATGGGCAATTAAATTCTGGAAAAATATATCTGTCGTATATAAACATTTAAGGCTGTCAGCATAAACCACGAAATTTATCTTTCAACTGTTTTTTTCCCACCAAAATAATATTCTAAGAAGAGCCCCCTATTTCTACTTTTGAGAGCGCTTATTACGTCAAATACTGTATTACACTTATATCCCCACCAATGAGTGGCATAACATCTTTAAAATATATAAATTAGAGAATAATTTTATTTTCATTTGGCTTTTGCTATTTCATAGGAAAACACTGTGTTCAGAAGTGGCTAAGATAGCTATTTAACAGAAACTTTACTCTACTATTAAACATGTCACCACCTCACGCAGGTTATGATATGATAGGTTAGTTAGTTAGTTATGCCCATCGCTCCTCCCAAAGCATAGGCCGCCGACAACAGTCTGCCAGAGTCCTCGGTCCTGGGCTGGCCTCTCTAGTAGTTTCTTGCTGTTTGCCTCGAGGTCCCGTCGCCAGGTGTTTCTTGGCCGTCCTCCTTTTCGTTTTCCCTGGGGGTTCAATGACAGCGCCTGTCTGGTGATGTTACTGACTGGCTTCCTCAGGGTGTGCCCAATCCATCCCCATCTTCTGCGCCAGATCTCATCTTCGGTTGGCAGTTGGTTGGTACGCTGCCACAGGTCTGAGTTTCTGATGGTGTTGGGCCAGTGGATCTGGAGGATTCATCGCAGGCAGCTGTTGATGAAAGTCTGCACTTTCCTGGTGGTGGTCTTTGTTGTCCTCCATGTCTCGGCTCCATACAGTAGCACTGACTTGGCGTTGGAGTTGAACAGCCTGATCTTCGTGCGAGTCCATACCACCTTGGAGCTCCATATGTTCTTCAGCTGCAAATATGCTGTCCTTGCCTTGCCAATTCTTGCTCTGACTCTGTGCTTGTCAATGATATGATGGACAATCAAATAATACATTTGGGAGTGATATCATGGTTAGAAATTAAACATGGCAATGGGTAGTAATTACAGATAATAAGCAACACGACCATTTTTATAGGAATTGCATTTTTTCATTAGCGATCTGTATAAAAAGAAGAAATTGTATTCCGCTTTAGTTCCGCATTACCAGTTTTATGCGCTGCTATATTTAGCTACAAATGACGGATATCGAGTCAGTAGCACTGCCATTGGCGCACTTTGCAGAACGGAGTAAAAATAAAAAACACAAGAAGTGCAGATGATTTTGCTCTTATTAAATCTTTGTCAATTATACACATAGTTACATGTGACAGATATAATTCTCTATAGTGTTTATCCCAGTTCTGGTCGTATCCCACTTCTGGTCGTATCCCACTTCTGGTCGCTACAGACGTCCTTTGTGTAAAGATCTGTGGCTCACTTCAATTGAGATCCACATTTTCATCGGTTTGTGTTGCCTTTTGTGCTGATTGTTGTTGTTCGAGACGGTTGTTCTCTGGCGTAGATGTTTTACATTTCCTCTCACCGTAAGCCAACACGCTGTGATAATGATGAGCTGTTCTTAAAAGCGTTGAAATCGACTCACAAAAACTTGTTTAAGTGATAATGTAAAATAAATAAATTTAAGCCTAAAACGACAGTGATCTTAGACATTAACCACGTTGGTGAGACAAGTCTAGAATAACAAAACAAGGTATCAAAGACAATTGATCCTCGAGACAACTGGCCAGTTTCACTTCCATCTTTGACAATAAAATACAGATAACCATGTTTATACATTACAAAACATCAGACACTAAACATACTGGTTTCATATAAAGTACAAACCTCCTTTAATCTTCAAGACTAATAGTATTTGCTGACGGCTTTAAGATCGTTATTTACTTTCTGTGGTAGGTTCCAGACATGTTAATTATAGCACGTATTGGGTTCCAGTCACACACAAAGGTTATCAGTTAAATGCCGAACCCATAGAGGGATGCAAGAACATGGTTGCGACGGTTCATTTTGGAGATATGTATCTATTCTGTAAAAGCGTTTTACTTGATAGAAGACAAATCCAGTCAATGCAGTGTCCTGCACTGTGATGTTTGGCTTGGAATATAACAGCAATCGCATCACGATTGTTGGATGGGTCACAAAAAATAGACTGGGTGTGATAGGCGTTAAATAAAATACATTTGTGACAGTGTTATCCTTCTGTTGTCAACACTTACTCATGTTATCCCACTCATGTATGCAATTGTTGTTACTGTTAATCCTCCACCTACTATATATATTCTGTACTATGTCCTTCATTCAATGGCTATACAAAATTCAACCCAACAAAAGCCAAACTCATACTCAAATGAAAGGAAAATTGAAATTGCTATCTCACGCCTCAGACTCGCTCACAAAAAGCACTATGACAAGGTTTGTTCATCTTGCTGAAACCATTGACCATGTGTTACTAGAATGTCAAGACCATGCCCCAGCCCGGGCTAGGTTAAAACAAGAATTGCAGTTAGATCCGCTATCTGTCATAGATCTCCTCAAGCCAAGAGATGCAATAGCGAAGGCCAAACTAACTGGACAGCTACTCGAACGTATATAAACAGAGCAGCCAAGGATAAAAATGAAATCATATCAATATAAGAAAATAGAAATCATATCAATACAAAAACAGAAATTATGTGAACACCAAACTCACAATAGATATGTGTACCCTACTCACACACAGGAGTCCCAAAGAGGGACAGGTCAGCCGAAATTGCCTAGGCAGAAGGCGACCTCTTAAACACTTAATGCAACAACAACAACCCTCATTCAGTCCTGCTTGACAACGGTATAAGGATCTATACCGAAACGTCGCTTTTTACAGTATTAAAGAAGTTGTTATCCATAAAATTGTGTCTACCCCATAAACAGATGCTCATGATATAGTCACAATCGTACAATCGACTCTGGTTTTGGCAGTGATTTCTTACGAATATGGAACATGTTTTGTCGCTTTTATTAACAACAGAAAAAAGTGCCAACTGGCTCTGTAAGTCACCTGTATATATATATTCAACATGTCAACGTAACTGTGGGTCGAACCCAAATGTACACATATATGATGAGGTCATTAGATTGAGTGGGTGAGTTGATTTTACGACTATTTGAACATTATTCCAGTTATATCACAGCGTGTCAAGTTAAAGTGGGTGGAATGCCCAAAGTGTGGAAGGTCATATTAGACGTTTGTCGAAACCCCCAAGCCCAGGTATGGTGCTGACGAAAAGGTCATTTCAACAACGTTCAAATAACTACATATTATAGTTACTAACTGCCAGTAGGGTGCCAATTTCAGCAATCAGAACGGTCGTTAGTTTACGCGTCCATTTATTGGTAGAACGCTCCCGTAGTGCATCGAACAACGACAGCGTCAACCTAAAATAAATGTAATAAAAAATACGGGTTGTATGTAATTATAGGCGACAAACATTTTACATGTTTAACCTTTTTCGCGAACCCTTGGAGTCATCACTTGTTTTCGGTGTTCCATGTAATTTTAACCGTAATTGTGCCGTAAAAATTCCCTTTACGTCCGATGGAATCTGTTTCGTCGTATAATCGAGACTGGCGTTGACGTTTTATATTTTCGTCATCATATGAATTATCTGCCAGATGTATAAGTCATTGTACATCATAAACATATGTTTATTCGTAGAGACAAGTCACATTCAAACCTATCACTTCATATGCGTATTTACAACATGGAGACCAGTGACGATCTGGGGTAGAATAGGTCTTCAGCAACCCATGCTTGCCGTAAAAGGCGACTATGCTTGCACTCAGCAATATTACAGCTATATGACGGCGGTCTGTAAATAATCGAGTCTGGACCAGACAATCCAGTGATTGACATCATGAGCATCGATCCACGCAATTGTGTTAGATGACATGCTTCAACCAAGTCAGCGAGCCTGACCACCCGATCCCGTTAGTCGCCTCTTACGACAAGCATAGTCGCCTTTTACGGCAAGCATGGGTTGCTGAAGACCTATTCTACCCCGGATCTTCACGGGTCCCTAGAAACGTAATCAGAGCGATACGAAACCATAGGTTACAGGTTTCTGGCACGCATAAGGGAGGGATACTCTTCATGATTTGTAGAGACTGTCTGTCCTTGACAATTCACGGGTCTCTTACTCTTACTTATACTCTTGATAATACCATAGATAATGCCTTGATATAGTCTTGCTAAATAAATTGACGTAACGTTAAACGTCAGTCGCCGTCAATGGAGAATTTCGCGTTATTGTGAGTGAATGAATTTGGATTATACGCTTCTTTAAGCAAATGTCCAGCAATATCTCGACAAGGGCGGCCAAAAGAGGCTACGCATATTTTACTCATTTGGCAGTCGAACCGTGGCATCCGGCGTGACGAGCGAACGCTTTAACCGCTTGGCCACCCGCCACCATTCCACGTCATAGATAAGCATCATCGTTATGAGAACAAATCATTTAGGTTCACAATCGACTTCGTCATCTGAGAGTTTTACTTTATTGATGGTTCAATTAATACTAAACACGATATCGGGTATCGGTTAAGAAATTGTGTTAACGAATTCTGTGTGTTTCGTATACTCGTATGTCATTGCCAGAGCAACGAGACAGTTCGGTCAATTGGAAACATAAACCCAAGCCGATCATTCTTCGGATATAGAAGAAAAAGAAGAGAAGAAGAAAATTGTTTTATTAGAGTGTCACATGCTGCAGTACAAAATAAATAGACATATAAACATTTCATTAAAAAAACAGCACCCGGCCAGTTGGCCTACGAGACACTAATTACATAGTGGTACATTTATAGTATATAAAAAAAAGAAAAGAAAAATTAGTTGTAACTTTGTATATTACTACACCAACACCCACACCCACATACACATCCGCATTAAAATCCCGCTCAAAGCATACAAACAGGTAAGCATACAGACAGGTAAGCATACAGACAGGTAAGCATACAGGACGCTCACAGCAATCTCATGCAGAACATTCACAGCAGTCTCATACAAAACACTCACAGCAATCTCATTCAGAACACTCACAGCAATCTCATACAGAACACTCACAACAATCTCTTACAGAACCCTCGCAGCAATCTCATACAAAACACTCACGGCAATCTCATACATGTCATACATCTATACACATATGTATCCATATACACACAACTTAATTCATCAATCGTGTATACTAGCCTACATGTATAACCAGCATACATACTAACATACCAACCTACATACATACCTATATCCATCAAACATAAATCAATCCGTATTATACATACACAGGTCCATCCATACCTATGTCTGTTCAAACACACCTCAATCCAAATATACTAACACACATGCAACCATACGTCCATACATATCTATATCCATTCGAACACACCTCAATCCAAATATACTAACACACATACATCCATACCTATATCCATCCATACACATATCGATCCATATATACATACACACATACAACCATACCTATATCCATCCATTCACACCTCAGTCCATATATATACATACACCCATACAACCATACAAGAGTACTGAATACAATATGAACATACATTAAATACAACAGATAATATAGATGAGAGGCACTGTATACTAACGTACATAAACACACCCGCATACACACCTACCGGCGAAACCATCCATCAGGACCAACCAAGGGTTACTTCTAATCAGACACGTGTTTTGTGGATGCCTCTTTCGTTTCCTCAAAGCTTCTTGTGTTACAGATCCAGCGAAAATACTCAATCAAACAGGTCAAAGTGGCACCGATTTAAGGAAACGGATTTAAACGCACACATTGTGACGGCGGGGTACACCAGAAATGGGCGTCACACATTGTGACCATGTGGAGAATCGAACCCGGGTTTTCGGCGTGACGAGCAACGCTTTAACCACTAGGCTACCCCACCGCCCCTGAGTTTAGTAGTAGTTCAGGAGTACATCTTCAAAATCTAAATCCACCATGATCATCATTCGTATCATAAGTTCACCGTTCACCGTTAATACCGTAAATACCCTTAAATACAGTGAAGGAGTGAGTGAGTATGGTTTTACGCCGCTTTTAGCAATATTCCAGCAATATCACGACGGGGGCCACCATAAATGGGTTTCACATTGAACCCATGTGGGGAATCGAACCCGGGTCTTCGGCGTGACGAGCGAACGCTTTAAACACTAGGCTACCCGACAGCTCCCTTTTAAATATAGAGTACACTAGGCGCTTATATAGAATGAACTCTGAAGCTGAGCTTTCTTTAATCGAATTGGCCGCCCATTGTAGTGAGTGAATGCGTGAGTAAGTTGGGGTTAACGCCGCTGTTAACAGTATTCCAGTTATATCACGGCGTGTCAGCTTAATGTGGGAGGAAAGCCCGAAGTGATGCAGGTCTCAGACGTTTACCACTTCGGTGAAACCCACGAGCACGGGTACGGTGCTGACAAACCTAGAAACATAATCGGGGCGAACCGGGATTCGAACCCACAATCATAGGTTTCTGGCATGCCCAAGGGACGTAACTCTGCACAGCGAATCGCGGCGCCTTAGTCGCCTCAGACGACTGGGCTAGTAATCATGATATTGATAATGATGCCATTGTTGTTGAACATGATGTTGTTGTTGATGAAGATGGCGATGATAATGATACTGATGATGATGATTCTGAAAATATGGGGTTTGGAAAATTTAGAAATAATAGAGAAAATTCAAATGAATCTTTTAAAAATAGTAACTGGTCTGAGGAACTCAACACCCAATTTTATGGTTTATTGGGAACTTGGCAGGGAACCCCTCAAAATTAAAGTATTTAAACGGATGATCTCCTTCTGGCCTAATTTAACGAATTTAAACGGTCCAACAAAGTTATCTAACATTTCATATAATTATTTGATACAAGATTTTGATGTAAATGCAAAATGGTTTAAAATCGATAGCAACAGTAAACAAACAAGCGTATAGTTGACAAAGTCATCTATATCCCCCGCCCATTTTAACACGTTATGGTCCCAAACCAGGTAACTGACCCAACATTTCTCTTAGCCCATGTCAAAATAGCTGCAATGGAAATTCTAAAATAAACATTTCTAAAACTCCTTAAAATCAAATGGCACTTGTTCAGTATGCGCTTTATATATAGACATGCAATATTTGGCAAGGAAATATTTAACAGTTATACTATTTAAGTAAACCAATCCTATATTAAAACTTCAATCCAACTTGTTGTCATGGAAACATAAACAATAAAAATTTCTAAAAGTGCTATATATCAAAAGGCACCAGTTCAGTATGTGCCTGGTAGACATGCAAAGTTTTGTAAGAAAGTATTTAACGGTTTTTGAGTTACACTCTCGAAACGAACACCACCCCTGTAGAACCTAAGTCCAACTTATTGCCATGGAAACGTGAAAAATAAAAATTTCTAAAATTCCTAAATAGCAAGAGGCACCAGTCCAGTATGTGTCTGGTAAACATGTTAAGTTTTTGTTGGAAAGTATTGAATGGGTTTTGAGTTATGCTCCGGAAACAAACTCTACCCTATAGAACCAAAGTTCAACTTGTTGCAATGGAAACGTAAAACATAAAAATTTATAAAACTCCTAAATAGCAAAAGGCACCAGTTCAGTATGTGCCTAGTAGGCATGCAAAGTTTTGTAAGAAAGTCTTTAATGGTTTATGAGTGACGCTCCGGAAACGATTAGCACCATTATAGAACCTAAGTCCACTTGTTGCCATGGAAACGTAAAAAATAAAAAATTATAAAATTCCTAAATAGCAAAAGGCACCAGTTCAGCATGAGTCTGATAGACATGCAAAGTGTCGTAGAGAAATATTTTACGGTTTCTGAGTTATGCTCCGGAAACGATTTCGGGACGCACACACGCACACGCACACGCACACGCACACGCACACGCACACGCACACACACACGGACGGAACCCATTTCTATATCCCCCGCCAACTTCGTTGGGGCGGGGAATAATTACTAAATGATGTCGGACTTTCAGAAGAATTCATAAACCCATCTATTCGCTCAACTTCATGGCTGGTTTCAAAGGTCGAGAGAATTCTTAAAGACCAATTTATTCAACAGTGGAGAGAATGTATCCTTACAGGTTCAAAAGGTTTATAATACCAACACTTTAAAGAATTACCAAAATTTGAACATTTCTATGACTTCCCAAAACTCTCTACTTGCCGATTATACAATTTCGTACATGGAATCATCATTTGCCCATTGAAACCGGCCGATGGAGAGAAGACCGTGTCTGTACACTATGCATTCATCTGCTGTTGGAGACGAGTTTCACTGTCTTTTAATGTGTGAAGCTCTTCTCCAACAACGACTTCTTTATGTCCCAAAAAATTGTTATATCTGGAAAAATGTGTAAACTGAGTTTCTGCACGAGACTACCCCCAAATATACTACCGCAGATTAAAAACGAGTATCACCCCAAGGATCTTACGCGCGCTTGGAAGGTATAAAATGCACAGCCAGTAAGGGAAAGATCATTTGTTGATAATCCTGGGGGATGCTTGAAACAAATAATTATTCTTCAGACTGTTGGGAAAACAACCACAAAAATACACAGCTGTGAGACGGGTTTTCTTGTTTTGCAACTGTTGCTAAAACTATATCTTGTCTGAATACAAAATCCCAGCCCAGGGATTCCCACCAACGACCTTACCCTTCTATCACGCCTGTGAGTGACAACTATGACTCCACGAATGGGCCACCCCGTTCCATGTTCTTGTTCAACCCCAATGTACTTCTGTAATGTTTTAAAAAGTTGAAAAAGGACATCAAATCAATTTGGCAAATAATAGCCCAACTAATGGAAAACAACAGTTAAAGCTACTTACACCATGTACAATATCAAACTGATTCTCACGTAGCAGGAGCAGAGGGAGGTACTGCAGCCTCTGGAGCAGAGGGAGGTACTGCAGCCTCTGGAGCAGAGGGGGGTACTGCAGCCTCTGGAGCAGAGGGAGGTACTGCAGCCTCTAGAGCAGAGGGAGGTACTGCAGCCTCTGGAGCAGAGGGAGGTACTGCAGCCTCTGGAGCAGAGGGAGGTACTGCAGCCTCTGGAGCAGAGGGAGGTACTGCAGCCTCTGGAGCAGAGGGAGGTACTGCAGCCTCTGGAGCAGAGGGAGGTACTGCAGCCTCTGGAGCAGAGGGAGGTACTGCAGCCTCTAGAGCAGAGGGAGGTACTGCAGCCTCTGGAGCAGAGGGAGGTACTGCAGCCTCTGGAGCAGAGGGAGGTACTGCAGCCTCTGGAGCAGAGGGAGGTACTGCAGCCTCTGGTTCAGAGGGAGGTACTGCAGCCTCTGGAGCAGAGGCAGGTCTACATCACAAAAAGCTGATTTTATCGACCCATTTCAGCTTGAATAACATGGGTCGATAACATTAGTAATAGGTTTGCACTGCTGGGACATATTAAGCACTTATTCCAGGCATGTCCTTGACCTCTGTGCCGGGACACCATCATCCAATCAGATCATATCACAGTGTCTACTGAAATGCAATACACTATCGGCATCAACTGCCGACATTAAGCTGCCCTTGGAAATAACAGCGCCTCAAATATCCTGTCTAGACCACTGCAATCAAACGTTCTTCCTCAAACTCGACCAGAAGACGTTATCTGAGAACAGAACCCAGTCCAGAAAAATGGCTGTTTTGTTGAATGGGAAGCAGAGTCGAAGAGCCATGAACCTCGTAAATAGCCATTGGCTAAGGCCATGGAAGCATTGGACTATAACACTGCCTTTTTATCGCTCTGATTCAATCACTTGCGTGGGTAACATGTCAGTTATATAACTAACTGAACAAGAACTGTGCATTACTCTTCTCCATTTTAACTTTGATGGTATCTTCAAACCTGAATTTGATCTCTTTTAAATATAAATGAGCGTCATATTCTAGACTGTCTGTTATGATGATGTCAACCTTTAGTACGCGTGCGTGCGTGTGTATGTGTGCGTGCGTGCGTGCGTGCGTGCGTGCGTGTATGTCAGCATGCACGTGTGCGTTCGTGTGTACATGCACGTGTGTGTGTGTGCATGCACGTGTGTGTGTGTGTTTTTGCCTGCGTGCGTGTGTTCAAAACGTAGGGCTTACTTTGAAATCAATTCATATTTCCAAACTTGTAAGAGATTCGTTTCTAGTAATAGTTGTTTTGATGATACTGGACGAATTTACAACCTATAGTGAAAGATGTTATGACCGCCAACGAAAGGGGGAAATGGAAATGGGGTTTAACGTCGCGTTCGAGATTATTGCAATTATATAGCGACGTACATGCACGTGCATGTGTGTGTATGCGTGCGTGCGTGCGTGCGTGCGTGCGTTCACAAAAGGTAGGGAATACTTGGAAATAACTGCATATTTCCAAACTTTTAAGAGATTCGTTTCTAGTAATAGTTGTTTTGATGATCTCGGACGAATGTACAACCTATAGTGAAAGATGTTATGACCGCCAACGAAATGGGGAAAGGGGGTTTAACGTCGCGTTCGAGATTATTGCAATTATATAGCGACGTACATGCACGTGTGTGATTGTGGCTGCTTGTACCAGTCCGGGCTATTGCGGATTATATTGCGCTAGTCAACTGAGATTTCATGCCATATGAATACCCCACTCACACACAGAATACCGACTCCGAGCCGAACAGTCCTTATTTTGGCATCTTAATGTCGAACACCAGGCAGTGTAACAATAAGTACCATTTTAGCGCTTTTGGTAAGACGCGGTTGGGGATCGAACCCCGGACTTTCACTCTCGCACGCTCTCCCATTAGATTAAGGAGGCGGTACCGATGTTGAAGGACGATAGGGAAAGATGGTAAATTTCAAAGTTGACGTTTTTGGATCAATTGTGCGTCACACCGCCACAATTTGTGAAACATTCATATACCCGACGAGGCAAACTGCGTATGAGTCTCCCAATGACGATTTCAGAGAGTCTTACCAACTCCTCTCCCCGATCCCCTCCCCGATCGTGTCCAAGTTACATAATTCATTTATTTTTACATGTTCCCATCAATTCTAAATAACAAAATCCATAATTTTTTTTAGTGAATCGGAGTTGGAATAAAAGGCGGATGTATCCGATCAGTCAAAGTTACAGAAAGTTACAAGCTACAGATTTACCAGGGGGTACGGGTGGCCAAGTCGTCTAAAGCGCCGCGATTAGCGGTGCAGAGTTGCGTCCCTTGGGCACGCCGGAAACCTATGATTGTGGGTTCGAATCCCAGTTCGACCAGATTGTGTTTCTAGGTTTGTCAACACCATATCCGTGCTCGTGGGTTTCACCAAAGTGGTAAACGTCTGAGACCTGCATCACTTCGGACTTTCCTCCCACATTAAGCTGACACGCCGTGATATAACTGGAATACTGTTAAAAGCGGCATTAAACCCAACTCACTACGGATTTACCAGGTCTGACATTATAGATTTATTCTTCATTGGGCGTGTTCAACAAATAGGATATTCACCGATGAAACTTGTGGTTTGAATTGGTTTCATTTAAATTTCTCAAAATCGTTACTAAAGACAATGCTTGAGGCATTTTTATCGTTAATGTATGGGTTGCAAAATTTCTGTAAAATCCAGTCTTCAAGAAATTAAATTTTCCCTCACATAATGGAATGATATTTATACCTGTCTCTAGGACCAATAGCTTATTGTCGAGGCGAGACATTGAAAATGAGGCTCGCTGACTTGGGACCCGGGTTAGAATAGGTCTTCAGCAACCAATGCTTGCCGTAAAAAGGCGACTATGCTTGTCGTAAAAGGCGACTAACGGCATCAGTTAGTCCAAACTCGATTATTTACAGACCGCCGTCATATAGCTGTAATATTGCTGAGTGCAGCGTTAAACAACAAACAGACAGACAGACGCTGACTTGGTTGATGCATGTCATCGATCCCAATTGCGTGGATCGATGCTCATGGTGTCAATCACTGGATTGTCTGGTCCAGACTCGATTATTTACAGACCGCCGCCATATCGCTTGAATATTGCTGAGTGCGGCGTAAAACAGCAATTGGGGTCGATGACATGCATCAACCAAGTCTGCGAGCCTTACCCCCGATTCCGTCAGTCGCCTCTTACGACAAGCATAGTCGCCTGTTACGGAAAGCATGGGTTGCTGAAGACCTATTTTATTCCGGATCTTCACAGGTCCATTCTTAAAGAAGCTGAATGAAGGGCACGTAACATGGGATCTGAAAAATGTCTGGCGAAACTAAAACATAAAGTATGTGAACATTAAATATCCTTCCTAAATTCCCAAGGCCTCACTTGCAAGTCATATAGGTGATATTTTCCCTATAATATTCAATCAAGCTGGCGAAGACAGTGCCTAACGTGAGCAAAGGTCATGAATAGCGACGGTATTTGTATAATCACTTTTGTAACATAATGTGGGTTGCATCTGATATTTTACCGTCTAACAGGTCTATAAGGGTTTTGTGGCTTTTATTTAAACACTAAGGGAGGTCATTCTGTTTAGTGAGCTGTCTTGGGCGTGCCACTAAATAAAGTCCTTGCCACATTCTATGCGGGTTTCATTTGAAGCAATTTATAGCAATTAAAGAAATATGCTTTCAATATATACGACCACATAACAATACACGCACACCTGCATGCGAGTACATGTTTTGCAGGTGCGTGGAAAATAAATAGTTCTTAGTTTCTAGTAAATACATTTGAATTCCTCGAGAAAAGGAAAATTTGTGATGTATCAGCCCTAAATTCAAATGTGATGTGTCTAAGACCTTATATATGTTGCAAAGCCTGATCAAATAGACCAGTAAAAAGGGTTGTGAAGTCACTGGGTACATCTCGCCTAGATCATTTCAAACCTGGAAAGAAATCATTATGAAAAGGATATTATATATCATATTGAGGAGGACATTCGTGCATACATAACAAAACACGTCAATTGTGGCATATAACCGAAAAAGCAACATTCTTGTGACTTAACTTTTAAATACAAATTATATATTCATTGATTTCATTTTTTTTTTAAAAGGTCCGATCACTTGTAGAACAAGTTTGCTTTGGGAATGATCATTCAGAGCATTACACAATGAACGTTCAGCCGCGACCAGTCTCTGAATGATTCATGCTTTCCTTGGGAATAGCAAAGTAAACTTGAAGTAGAACACAATCAGTTTGCATTTCTTCTCCTTCAACAAACCCGCCTTTCGTTCACTAACTGTAGTTTGGCTGGTGTCTTCGCGTTACGCCGACCTTTAGACATTTGGGGTCAAAATTAAGGTCGGCAAAACGCGAATAGTTGCAGTTGGGTTGTTAACTGGGGATTAAGAGAACAATGGGATTAGCGCGTGGGATTTAAAGTTTTAATCCGGATTATCTGTATGGTAAGACTGAATTCGGGTTCAGGTGAACACTTGTGAGAAGAAAATGATTGAACATCTCACATTTGAGAAGAAAATCAATCAAAGATGTCAAAGACTTGAGGACTACAGCCAGTGGATCGAAAGAATAACAAACTACCTAAATGAACACCAAATTAAAAATCTTAAACAAAACTGCAAACAATCAAATATCTTCACCCCCCAACTTAAAATACCCAAAATAGACACAACACTAGCTAGCCAAATAAATTAAAAAACCGACCCAAACATAGCTAAAACTACCACACTAGCATACATACACGAAAATCGGCCAAATTGGTGTCACATTTACCCGGACGGATCCTCAGATCCGACCTCCAAACACACAGGTTTCGGAGTCCATACCACACAACCAACTAAAACCACACAATCCTTCCGACTCCCAAACAACCAATCAATATTCACGGCAGAACTAATGGGCATGGCCTCAGCCCTCCATAATCAAGAATAAAAAAAAAATTAAAAAAATCCTAATACTTACCGACTCCCTAAGTGGACTGCAAGCCCTCCAAAACAAAAATACCAAAAACCGACCTAAATTAATAAATCAAATACTTAAAAGCTCCAACGACCTAACTAAGGCAGGCAAACAAATAACCTTCTTGTGGATCCCCGCCCACGTAGGAATATACGGTAATGAAAACGCCGATAAAGCAGCTAAACTATCCCTCAAAATCCCAGAAATAAGCTTAAACTTACCCATCTCAAAATCAGAAATTAAAAGTGTAAACAAGCAAAAAATCACACACAAAAATGGCATAACCTATATCTAAACTCAAATAGCCAAATCAAAAAAGTGCTCAGCAAACCACTAACCAAACCAAAAATTGGACACACCAACCTAAATAACCACCTAAAATTTTTTAAAAAACACACTACAGGTAACTGCCCAGACTGCAAACAACCAGAAACCCCAGAACACGCACTCATCCACTGC